AATGGTTCACACGCTAAACTCCCTAATCATTCAGACGAAAAGTATATCGCCTATAATAAAATTAATGTACCGACTTCGACGTCATATAACAACGCACCCGAATCTCCACTGCAGGAGACAGTGCACACAACAGCAGCTTCGCTCTTGGCGAAAGATCGCCGTGACGTTAGACTACTTCTCTGACTCCGCTGTAAAGCTGGTAATCTGCCTGTATTCCTGCAGGCGTACTACAATATCATGTTTTAACTACAGGCATGGCACATGGAAATTGCGAATTCTTCTATGGACATGAATTAAGGAAAACGACATATCTTCGCTGCTTCTAGAACAAAACTGCTCAAATATTTTCACATGAAAGTTCGTCTCATGGAGGTCTGAAGTAGTGATGCAAAGTTTTGCTAAACTTTGCTTAGTTTTACTTAATTTTTGCCTTAATAATTATTTCACATTCCCTATATTTGTGTTGTATTACTTTCCTTAATTTTGCTTAGTTTTGTTTAAATCTGCTTAGTTTTACTTAATTTGGTTAGTTTTGCTTAACTTTCTTTGTTTTCTGAGATATTGGGTTTTCGGACTTATCCATCGTCCTGGTTTTAAGATAACTAAGAAAAACACGACGTTTCGGAAACTTGATCTGTTTCCGTCCTCAGGTGAGGGAAAACACCTAGAGGACCCAACAGCCTCAATCACTGGACGATCCAGTGATTGAGGCTAGATCCAGTTTCCGAAACGTCGTGTTTTTCGTAGTTATCTTAAAACCAGGACAATGGATAAAGTCCGAAAACCCAATATCTCTGTGTGTTATACACCATCGTCAGAACCCTATAGTAACTATTTGCTTTGTTTTATTTAATTTTGCTTCACTTTGCTTAGTTTTACTTAATTTGGCAAAATTAGGTGAAAGAAAGCAAAATTAAGCGATACTAACCAAACTAAAGTAAAACTAAGAAAAGTTTAGCAAAACTAAGCAAAATTAAGTAAAACTTAGAAACGCTTATCAAAACTATGCAAAATTTAGCAAAATTAAATAAAACAAAGTATTGTTTAGTTTTAATTAACTTTGATTTGTTTTATTTAATTTTGCTAAATTTTGCTTAATTCTGCTTAACTTTGCATATTTTTATTTAATTTTATTATGTTTGCTAAACTTTGTAAGTAAAATTAAGCAAAGTGCTAAAGCAACATATCACAAGACTTTCAAACTACTTTAACGTAAGTAAGATTTGAGGTTCTCACGGAGGTGACTATGAAGAAAGCCGTCTTCTGGGATGTGGCGTCGTGCAGATATAGTAGAACTTGGTTATAACGTCATCAAAGGGACCTAAAAATAGTGTCGTTATAAACGAATGTCGTTGTAACCGAAATGGGCACTTCCACAGTAGCCTTATGTTAGTCACGTAAAAATCTACCAAAAACCGAGTTAAAATGTTGCATTTTTTAGTGAAATACGTAGTTAAGTACAGACTAACGTAACATTAACGTGGATTAAATTAAATTAAATTAAATTAAAATTAACTAATTCAGATCTGAGAGGAAAGAACATAAAATGCCTTAATTTTAAAGTCTTTTCAGAGTTTTTGTTCTGTCCTGAGTAGACAATATGTGTAAGAACATCCTAAATTGTTACGAAAAGTTCCTTTCAAATGTGTCATGAATGTAGTTCAACACACGTCATATGCTGTGAGAAAGGGAAAATTTTTTGATGGCAGAAATTTTCGAATCTGTTACCACAAACACCTACATCACGCCGAAATTTTCGACACTTTGACCTTGTAGGCCTAACGAATGCTACCAAGTTTTGGTATGTGTAACTTGTGGTCTATTTTCAGGCAATCTGGAAATGATAATTATTTTAAATTACGTAAGAATAATGTGCAGAGGGTGAGGCATTTCTCAGTGCTCCTCTCAGCCTGCAACTGATAGGCAGTCACAAATCCTAATACTCCAGAACAGAACATTAACAGTGATGAATGTTATGGAGCCAACGACCCAATATTAGGGTCTAAATAAACAGAGAAACAAATTAAAATTCCAGTTACAATTTCTGGTCAGCCATTCCTGCAGATTAATCTCAAGTGTTCTCACACCCGAGGAAGCCTGCTGCAGATTCCCTCCTTCAATATGCCATGTACGGCTACTGGAAACGTTCAGAGCGATACAGTACGTCTATGTACCTTCATGGCATCTGTATATGACACAGCGGCACTGTATATCTATGCGGCATAAATGCCAACATTTAAAGTGACATCATACTCAGATGTCTGTATATGAGACAGAATTCCTTTATATATATAGGACACAATCAAACGAACTCCGTGGTCTGTAGTCTGCAAGCGAACTATACCGACCGAGCGACCGCCGCTTGTAGGAGAAGTTAGTGCCAACTTTTGCGGATATTGGGTGTCAGGTGGTCAGCGTAACGGATCCCCCGGTTTTCTAGACCGGAGTCGCTATTTCCTTGAAACAGCTCCTCGATTATCCTCATGTGGCCGAGTGGAACCCGTTCCAGACCCACTATTTCTCAGAAAATCTGGCAGCGCTGGGAATCGAACCCGGGACCTCAGGATCTGTAGCCTTGAATTCTGACCACTAGACCATGGAGGCGGACGATATATAGGACACAATGTATCTAAATACTCGTATGCGATAAAATGCATTCATTTATAGTATGAACTAATGTGTCTATAGATAAGACAAATTCTTTCACCTGAGATGTATCGTATGTCTATATGCGAGAAACTCCTTCATTTAGGGGTCCACTGTGGGTCTATATGAGGAAAACGTCTTCATATAGGATATCGTTTATTTATGTGAGAGAAACGTATCCATTTACAGTAGTACCGCATGCCTACATATTGGAGAAAGTGTCTTCATTAAAGCGTTATCGTCTGCCTCCGCTACAGTGTTAACGTGTGACTATATGCACGATAGAAATACCTTCATTATAGTGTTGTGATGTGCCTATATAGGCGATAGAAACGCCTTCAATAGTCTCATGGTGTGCCTATACATACAACAGAAATGCCTCCGCTACAGTGTTATGGTTTGCCTATACACGCGATAGAAATACCTTCATTATGTTATCGTGTGCCAAACAGGCGATAGAAATGCCTTCAATAGTGTTATGGTGTGCCTATACATGCGATAGAAATGCCTCCATTATAGTGTTTTGGTGTGCCTATACATGCGATAGAAATGCCTTCATTATATTGTTTTGGTGTGCCTATACATGCGATAGAAATGCCTTCATTATAGTGTTATGGTGTGCCTATACAAGGGATAGAAATGCCTTCATTATAGTGCTATGGTGTGCCTATATAGGCGATAAAAATTCCTTTAATATAGTGATATAGCATGTCTACATGCAAGAAAGGAATTCCTTGATTTACAGTGGTTTTATTGTGTCTGTATACGTGACAAATGCGATTATGTACAAAGCAGAGTAGACCGAAACCCACTCGTACAGTAACAAACCTGACTAGCGAACCCAATTCCTAATCAGTTTAATGCACTTCCCAATGTGCATATTTATCTGAAGTCAATCTAAATATTATCATCACATCTGCTTCTTGCTTCAAGCTTCCCTATCAACATTCTGTGCATATTTATTCTTCCCCAGGCCACGCCAAATGAAATAATCTGCCGTATTCAAGTATTTCAAGAATCACTACACAAGCTGCATACATCATGCAGCCCCTCAGCAAGCACAATCACTCATTCCACGCTCAATTCATCTCTCTTGGGAAGGAAACTATTTTCCTTGGTGCTTCAGACAGTTTGCGTCCAATTTATGTTCTTCTTTCAGGGTAGGCTGTTGTGTTTCATAACCACACAAAATAACTCTCACATATTCTATCATTATATATTTCTCTCTCTCTCTCTCCCTACCGCACACACGCGCGTGCGCTCATGCAGTACTACTTTGGAAAGAAAACAACAGTTTGATTTTAGAAATGGCTTCTTTCACATATCCTAATATATTGTTTTTTTTATTTATTGTTTCAATAAGATAAATGTCCAGGAAGGTGCTGGGGCTCACTCAGCCTCCTAGCCAATGGGCACCGGAGGTCCTTTCGCCGGGAGGAAATCGGCGGGGGCGTGAAGCTGACCACTCACCTCCATCTAGTGGCGAGGTCAAGAAAGGTGGAGCTACATTTCCACTGTCTAATATGTCTTCATGACGTAGTGCTTAATTAATTAAGCACAGGAACAATTTTACCTTAAAGAACGGCGTCCTCTAGGAAGTGGTGTCACGTAGATCTTTTGTGAACTGACGTTTCGGAAGAACCTATCAACACCATCTTCATGGTGAAAAAATTCGCGAGGAACCAGCGTGAGCATGTGGCTTAGTCTGCAGCCACATGCTCACGCTGGTCCCTCACTCGCGGATTTTTCTACCGTGAAGATGGAAGCGATTTGTTCCTATGAAAAGTCGGTTCACGCCACATCTACACGGCGCCACATCCCAGAAGACGGCGTTCTTCATAGTCACCGCCGTGGAAACCTCAAATGTTACACCTTTATCTTAATCCTTAGTTGTAATACCACGTAGAATGTTTGTCAGTCATTTTAATTTTGTTTCGTTTATTCTCGTTAAGAGAGAGGTAATTGCAATGTATTGTCAGACATAATTAATGTTGAGAGTAATAACTTTTCCTATTCTTTCTATAATTGTAAACATTTTTATCGAAGGTCAATTTAAATAATTATTTTCTACGTTTCACTATAAATGTTCTTTATTTTTAGGTTCAAGGTCATTTATACTCTATGTAACTAATTACGGGGTTTCTTTTAATTTGCAAATATTGGGTTGTAATTCTTTAAGGATTTTTGCCCTTCCCCTCTCGATAATTTCAGTCAAAAGATATCATGCATTTCTCGAAATAAATCTGTTTCATTATGAGTTCAATTCTCGTTGCATTCATCTGTAGTAGTACATCATAGTATCAATCTGGGACATTCACTTCCTTATATGAACTATAACGGTCCATGGTACCTACACGTACAGATGGTCCTTGCTGTTGCCAGGGTGGTTCACCGAGGAGGATTCGTTGTTCTGGGTAGTAGAGCGCGGGAACAAAATGGCGGCCAGGGAGAGCACCTGAAAATAAAATTATTTGATTAGTCTGTTGTCTGGAGATGTATAGATCCGCCAATATATATGCCGTACGACTGAAACGGGGTGGAATTCGTGATGAAAGATGACGCGGATAGACTGATTGATGCAAATGAACACTCACAACACCTATAAAATCTGAGGCTCTCCCGGTAAGCGACGCTAATCTATCGTAAATATGAAGGCGGCTGATTCCTCCAAAATTTTGGTACCAAATTACACGGCGTCAAGTTCCAGAAGACCGTAATCCTCACAACATATGACCGAAACACACGTTCAGGATTACCTTTTTATTGTGCTGTTATCTAAGTAAGCGAACTTCTCACGTTGAAAACGTTATTATATGAGGGTGCAAACTGAATGAAACCGTAATACAAAATGTAACAAACTGTCCGTGATACGGAGCGTAACCACTTACGTAACCGCTGATCACTCGAGACCTATAGCGTATCTTATATTAGAAGTTATATGTAAATGAAAGAATAGAGACTGATCTATCCAAAAACAATATTTATTTTACTCTCAAATTAAATTGTACACGGTCTAAACAATTATCCAAAACAAATAATAATTTTCCTAATTTTACAGACTTTCAACCGCCTGAGACGGCTAAACAGTAAGAGATGGATCCGGACATCATCATCATCAGTAATCTGTCTAGACGACAGGTCCACAGTCTCTTCCAAAACAGTTCCTCCACTTGATGCGATCTAGAGCTTTCTCCTTCAAATGATAGTATCCCCTTCTGTCTCCAAGGTCATCCAGCATCTTCTTACGTCTTCTTCCTCTTCTTCTGGTCACTTCTATCCGCCCCTCTATCTTTCCTTCAATAACTTCTTTTAGAAGGCAGTTTCTGCGTAAAACATGACCAATCCAATTAGCCTTCCGTTTTCTTATTTCATGTAGGATATTCCTCTGCTCACTGACTCTAAATAACACTTCTTCATTTCTCACATAATCGGTCCAACTGATCTTCTCCATCCTTCTCCAACACCACATTTCGAAACTTTCCAGATGTTTCTGATCTTCTGGACATATTGCGAGTAAAAACCTTAATAAATGCGAGCATCTCAAACAATGCAACCCGTTCTGGTCCACTGCTTATGGTCTAGGAGTTATAACCATATGTTTGTGACAAATACAGCTAATTCGATTCCTCTGTTTGCTGGATGACGCAATACTGTCACGTGTCCTAGTACCTCTGCAAGATATTAACAGGTTCCGGATTAAAGGAAGCGATTTATTGGATACTCATCAGGCGGAACTACAATTATTTGAAACACTATAATAACGCTTCGTAACCACGAACCATGACATTAATCTCGAAAGGTACTGTAACTATACGTACATCACATAAAGACTTCACTTCTCACGTCAAAATCAACGAAGGGATATTATGTTCACGGGTACCAAAGGGGCCTGAAACAAAGAATGACTGTGCTGGCGACGACCAGCAAGTTACTACTCCGCTCTACCATTCTGGGGATCTCGTTGGACTCACTACTACTGTTCCTCCGTACGGATGTCTATCGATGTATGGCTGTGAGGGCCACAGGGTTGTGACAGGTCGAAGTTTCCACATTTTCTAGACCATCGGCTCACAGATGGCGGTGAGGTTGTCAGCTTTACGCACCGGCCGCCCTTTACCACCCCAGGAAGATTCCTGGTATTCTTTTCTGTTAAGAGGCTGAGTCGACCCGAGGGCCATAGTGCGGCTAGAAGGATTAGGTAAATTTGAAAATCCAATGATCTCGTTTGGAATCGGACCCGGGACCTTGCAGTTTGTACCACAGTGCCTCAACCAACTACGCTACCTCCTGCTCTCTATCAAGGTACGATGAAGCCTAAATGTTTCAGATGAAGAAGACTAACGTTCATGCGAAGGAAACATGAACGTGAGGTTCCTGTCGATGTGTACACTTCCTCGTTGAGCGCTGCGTACGGCTCAATGTTCATGTCTCACAGAAGCAAGACATAGACAAAGGAACATCGACTGGGGCCACAGGCAATTAGCGGGTGCCAGGGTGAGTACGTGTGCGCTCTAGCTCTCACTATCCCGCAGATACAGTGGGGTGGCACTTATTCTTTCTTGTTGAGAATGCTGTTTGAAAGTGAGGTGAGGACGGACGGGTTGTATAAGACAGATCATCATCAGGGCAGAGGAGAACAGTATCAATTTATAACCCTGTCAGCACCGTGTTGTCTCTCTCTCCTGGCATGTTGCCCCGACCAGACAGTTTGTTGATTAAAGTCGGAAGCTACACCAAGTCGAGGTCCCAGTAACGATGCAGCCCAGCACCGTGAGCGCATCAACACGTTGTGTGTTGCATGAGACACGGCGCCCATACAGATCTTGGTGGCGCTAGGCGGGGATTCAACAGACGCTGGGCATTAAGAATGTCCCGGTTTCTGGGCATAACTAAAATTCATACAGAGAGGAAAGGTACCTTGGATATTTAGTACTGATATACAATGTATATTCTAGTGGTCAAAGTTCCTGGCTTCAGACCGAGGTCCCGGGTTCGATTCCTGGCGCTACCAGAATTTCTGAGAAGTAATGGTTCTTGAACGGGTCCACTCGGCCTCGTGAGGATAACTGAGGAGGTGTTCCAAGGAAATGGCGGCTCCGGTCTAGAAAACCGAGATTGACGGCCGTGGGAATCCGTTGTGCTGACCACGCGACACCCTCTATCCGCTAAGTTTGCAATAACTTCGCCGATATGCGGCGGTCACTCGGTCGGTATAGTTCGCTTGCGGACTACAGCCCACGGAGTTTCTTTATACAATGTATATGACTTACAAAGGCGTTCTTTACTGAGATACGTTCAAAATGCGTATACAATTAACATTCATAAAGAAAATTTGAAGAAAAAATTTTATCAGTTTTGTTTACATATAACAATCTCTGAACAGATCACCAGATTTTCGTGAAATGTTAACAGTGGAAAATTTTACACAACTTTGCAAACAAGTTCCAATTTTGGTTAAAATTTATTAAGATATCTGGCATCTTTGCGCACATCTTGAGCGTAACTCTAGCTTGAGTCGCGCGCGAGCCTCCAAGATTGTTCCTTCGTTGCCTTAAAACTCATTTTTATCTCCAACACTTTAAGTGTTATCAAAAGAACTTCTATAATTTCAAATCTCATTCCCTTATTTCTCATATTCAAATGAGCCATAATTCATATTGCGTCCATTTACTGCGCCATCTTGTTCACCTTGCTGTTACATGTATTGTCTGGACGCATATGAGAGAAGTGAGGGGAATCACGCATCATTTGAAACACAATTTTATCATACGAACCATATGAAACTACGCCTGAACAGCCGTAAATAGGACGAAAGTTCAAGTTTACTGACTTATTCGGCATCCCAAGTTGGAGTTATTGGCCCTTACTTTTTTGAAGAAGACAATCATGCAGTTACTGTCAATTCACAGCGGTATGTGGACATGATTAACAACTTTTCGAACCAGCTATTGAAGAAATGCATCTAGGAAATGTCTGGTTCCAACAGGATGGTGCCACGGCCCACACAGTTTTTGAGGGCAAAGTTCCCCGGACGGCTCATCTCGCTCCGAGGTGACATCCCGTGGGCAGCGCACTCACCTGATCTAACGCCCTGTGATTTCTTTTATGGGGATACCTCAAGGCAGATGTTTTTAAACATCGCCCCACAAACCTGCTTCAGCTGAAGAATGTTATTCGGCAGGAAGTAGCCCAAATTCTGGTGCACATGTTGGAACGTGCAGAGGGGAACTTCAGAAAACGGTTGCATCAGTGCATAGAGAATGGTGGCCACCACCTTCAAGATATTTTGTTTCAAACTACATGATTTAAAACTTTAAAGTATGTTCTTTCATTAGCTGAACATAAATTTTGTCTATCAGCAATAATTTTTCTTTTATTCGCCTTCAAAAAAAGGAAGTTTCTGCACCCCACCCTGTACCAACTCAATTTTACTCCCCACGTTTCCATGTAAGAGTCTTATTCCTGTAACACGTTTGAGAGTTTGCTCTGTCATGCATAGCAGATATTCTGCAACCCAAAGTTTGTCACGATGTTTCTGGACATTATCCATCGCCTTGTCTTTATCTAAAAACACCGTCCTGTTCATTTTTCGAAACACAACGTTTCGGAGACTGGATTCTGTCTCCGTCTTCATGTAAAACCTACTCAGTTGGACCCAATCGATAGAGCTAGTCCCTGTCTCCGAAGATAGGAAGGTTCTCCCTGAAGACGGAGATGGAATTCTGTCTCCGAAACGTTGTTTTGAAAATTAAACAGGACGGTGTTTTCAGGTAAAAACATGACGATGGATAATGTCCAAAAACATTATATTTATACCAAAGCAGTCTAGTCTGAGCACTCCCACAGCACGAAGCACCCCTAAGTGCTTTAAAGAAATTGCTCAGTATAAATATCTGAAGTCATTATTTACAGAGCTGCCACAATCAGACAGCAGGCCATTTATTTATTTTCACTATGGAAAGAAGATCCTCATTAGCATAATTTTGGTTCCGATAAGAATTACCGATAGAGACGTCTGCATTCTACCCAAGACATGAGAATGATGCCAAGAACACTATATACATATATAAACTTATGTATTTATTTATGAAGTCCGAAAGGGAATGAGTTTATAAAAAGGTCACTGGGTCTTTTAAGATATGAACTAAGGGAAGCATTAGTTTTCTACAAGAACACCGGCACTAAACTTAATGGCAGACACGCGACGGCCCATCGAAAACACGAACTCGCCCCGCGGCGATTCTTTACAGCCGAAAATTTGAGCAACGAGGGTTACCATTCGCATGAATGAGAAGCAGTTTAGTTAATGAAAATGTTACGGTGGTTGCCTAAGCAGAAGCGGGTACAGTAAGTGAAGAATTCAGGAACTCACATAACAAGGAAAAGCGTCGGGATTGCGCAGTCGGTAGAGCGACTGGCTACGGGATGGATAACCAAGAAGTCGGAGTTCGAATA